GCATGTTCAGGTGGCCGGTGCGGTTGCTGTACGCGGCGCGCAGCGCGCTCTCGGCGAGTTCCGCGACGAGCTCGAAGGTTTCGAGGTACGCAGCGACGCTCTCGAGCGACTCGGCGAGCAGCGCCTTCATCCTGCCGACCGCCGCGGCCTCGTAGAGCACGTCGCGGCGCACGTAGTTGAGCATGAAAGGCTCGAAGACGAGGTCGATCTCGTCGGCACTGACCATGTGTTTCGCCACGTAGTAGCTGAGTCGGTAGCGCTGCGCGCGGTCGCCGTGCGGCGAGAGCAGCCCGCGGCCGTAGCACTGCGTGAGGAACCGGTTGCGCGCGCTGCGCGCAGACTCGTAGCTGCTCGCCAGGCTGTCGCTGAAGAGGTAGTTCTTGAGCGCGAAGTTGCGCAGGTCGTTCGAGAGCAGGTTGAGCGTCTCGGCGTTGAGCGACTCGCGGTACGCGGCGACGTCGCTGTCGGTCTGGAGTTCTACGTCCTTGAGCATGAAGTCGATGCCGGCGACGCCGGCGAGCAGCGAGAGCAGCAAGCGGCGCATGGCGAGCTCACCGACGCAGAAAAACAGAAAACGGGAGCGCGGCGCGGCGGAACAGAGGCGCAACGAGTTCGCTGCGTTAATTACCGAATATATTTTCTCGCGATCTAAATTGGCGCACCAATGCTGCTGACTAACCGGAGCGGGGAGCAGGAGGAGGTGGACGCGGCGCAAATTCGCGCGCAGCTGGCGCGACTCGCGTACGGGCTGGCGCCAGCAGTCGAGCTGGAGACGGTGGCGAGCCGCGTGCTGCGCGGGCTCTCGCACGGCATGAGCACCGCGCAAGTCTCGCAGCTGGCCGCGCAAGAGGCCGCGTACCTGAGCGGCAACCACCCAGACTACGGGCGGCTGGCCGGGCGCGTCGCGATGGAGTGGCTGCACAAGGAGACGCCGGCGCGCTTTTCGGAGTGCTGCGCGGCGCTGTCGAACGTGCAGCTGCAGGGCCGCGACATTTCGCCGCTGGCGCCCGCGTTCAACGAGTTCGTGCAGCAGCACGCCGCGGAGCTGGACGCGGCGATCGTCTCGGCGAACGACTTCGAGTTCGACTACTTCGGCTTCAAGACGCTCGAGCGCTCGTACCTGCTGAAGGCGAACAAAAAGATCGTCGAGCGGCCGCAGTACATGTTCATGCGCGTGTCGGTCGCGATCCACTTGGGCGACTTGCCGCGGATTTTGGAGACGTACCGGCTGATGTCGAGCAAGTTTTTCATCCACGCGACGCCGACGCTGTTCAACGCCGGGCTGAAGCGGCAACAGCTCTCCAGCTGCTTTCTGCTGCAGATGGCCGACGACTCGATCGAGGGCATTTTCGACACGCTGAAGGAGTGCGCGGTGATCAGCAAGTACGCTGGCGGGATCGGGCTCGCGATCCACAAGATCCGCGCGACGAACGCGTACATCGCGGGCACGAACGGGCGCAGCAACGGGATCGTGCCGATGCTGCGCGTGTTCAACGCGACCGCGCGCTACGTCGACCAGGGCGGCGGCAAGCGCAAAGGCGGCTTCGCGATCTACCTGGAGCCGTGGCACGCAGACATCTTCGAGTTCATCGAGCTGCGGCGCAACCACGGCAACGAAGAGTTGCGCACGCGGGACCTCTTCCTGGGGCTGTACATCAACGACTTGTTCATGCGCCGCGTGGACGAAGACGGCGTGTGGAGTCTGATGTGTCCCGCGCAGTCGCCGGGCTTGTTCGAAGTCTGGGGCGCGGAGTTCGACGCGCTGTACACGCGCTACGAGGCCGAGCAGCGCTTCGTGCGGCAGGTGAAGGCGCGCGCGCTCTGGACGGTCATTGTGAACACGCAGATCGAGACGGGCAATCCGTACTTGGTGTACAAGGACGCGTGCAACCGCAAGTCGAACCAGCGGAACCTCGGCACCATCCAGTCCTCGAACCTGTGCACGGAAGTGGTGCAGTACACGTCGCGCGAGGAGATCGCGGTGTGCAACCTCGCGTCGCTGTCGCTGCCCGCGTACGTGGACGTCGAGAAGCGGCGCTTCAACTACGAGAAGCTGTTCGAGGTCGCGAAGATCGTGACGCAGAACCTGAACAACGTGATCGACGTGGGCTTCTACGTGACCGAGAAGGCGCGGCGCAGCAACCTGCGGCACCGGCCGATCGGCATCGGCGTGCAAGGCTTCGCGGACGCGCTGCAGCTGCTGCGGCTGCCGTTCGACAGCCCCGAGGCGAACGAAGTGAACAAGAACATCTTCGAGACGATCTACTTCGGCGCGGTGACCGCGAGCGTCGAGCTCGCGAAGGAGCACGGGCCGTACGCGAGCTTCGAAGGCTCGCCCGCGAGCGAAGGCAAATTCCAGTTCGACTTGTGGAACGAAGAACGGCGCGAGCGGAACTTGCGTGAGATTCAGCTCTCGGGCATGTGGGACTGGGAGGAGCTGCGCGAGGCGATGGTCAAGTACGGGCTGCGCAACAGCCTGCTGGTCGCGCCGATGCCGACGGCGTCGACTTCGCAGATCCTCGGGAACTGCGAGTCGTTCGAGCCGTACACGTCGAACGTGTTTACGCGCCGCGTGCTCAGCGGCGAGTTCTGCGTGCTCAACAAGCACTTGGTGCTCGCGCTCTCGAAGCTCGGGCTGTGGTCGGAGGCGCTGAAGCAGCAGCTCATCGCGCACAACGGCTCGGTGCAGCTGATCGAGGAAATCCCGCAGCCGCTGAAGGCGCTGTTCAAGACGACCTGGGAGATCAAGCAGCGCAGCTACATCGACATGTCGGTCGCGCGCGCGCCGTTCATCTGCCAGTCGCAGTCGCTCTCGCTCTTCGCCGCGCGGCCGAGCTTTGGTGCGCTGACGAGCATGCACTTTTACGCGTGGAAACAAGGGCTCAAAACGGGACTCTACTACCTGCGCATCCAGAGCGCGACGGACGCGATCAAGTTCACGGTGGACCCGACCACTTTGCGCAGCGCCAAAGACGCTCAAAGCAACGCGCTGCTGTCCGAGAACGCCGAGAACAAGAAGCCCGACGCAAAGCACGTGTCCGTGTGCTCGCTGCTGAACCCTAGCTGCGTCTCTTGCAGCGGATAAAACGTGCAGCACGCATGCAGTCGCAACCGCAGAAAGAGCGGCGATCTAGCCGCACTCGCCTGGACACGGCGTTTTACGACTCCGCGCTGAGCCCGCACTGCTTCAACGGGCAGCACTCGGCGCAAATCACGCACATCTACCGCAAAATCCGCACGATCGGCCGCGGCTCGTACGGGACCGTGATCCTCGTCGAGAACAAGGAAACGCACCAGCGCTTCGCGTGCAAGTGGATCCCGAAGAACAAGTTCCGCGCGGGCCGGCTCGAAAAGTTCCGCACCGAGATCAAACTGATGCGCCGCTGCGACCACCCGAACATCGTCAAAATTTTCGAGTACTACGAAGACGCGGAGGACTTCTACCTGATCGAAGAGAGCTGCCCCGGCGGCGAGCTGTTCGACTTTCTGACCGGCCCGCACTACTTCGCGAACGTCGACAGCGGCACGCGCGAAGGCGGCCGCGCGATCGAAAAGCGCGCCGCCGGCATCATGCTGCAGCTGCTCAACGGGATCAACTACTTGCACCTGCGCGGCATCGTGCACCGCGACATCAAGCCCGAGAACATCCTGCTCGCGGAGCCGAACGACGTCAGCGTGCTGAAGATCATCGACTTCGGGCTCAGCAGCAAGATTTTGCCGGAGGCGGCAATGAAGGACCAGCTCGGCACGCCGTACTACATCGCGCCCGAGGTGCTCGCGCGCAACTACGACTTCAAGTGCGACATCTGGTCGCTCGGCGTGGTGCTCTACATTTTGATCTGCGGCAAGGCGCCGTTCAACGGGCCCACCGACGAAGCCGTGATTCAAAAAGTGCGCGAAAAGAAGTACGCAATGAACGACGCGGTCTGGGCGCACGTCTCGCCGGAGTGCAAAGACTTGATTGCGCACATGATCGTCTCGCCGGCCGAGCAGCGCTACACAGCCGCCGAGTGTCTGCAGCACCCGTGGTTCGCGCAAACCGTCGAGAAGGACAGCGTCGAGAGCTTGTTGCAGCGCAACGTGCCGGGCGCGGAGCAGCCGCTGAAGGACGTGCTCGAGCACAACATCATGCAGTTCTACCGCAACACGAAGCTGCGCAACGCCATCAAGCTCTGCACGTGCTACCGCACCTCCGGCGAGGCGTACGTGAAAGACTTCGTGCGGCTCTTCCAGACCTTCGACGCGAACTGCAACGGGCTGCTCGACGAGAGCGAGTTTTTGCGCGCGTTCGCGCACCTGCGGCGCAAAGCTTCGGTCTTTCTGAGCGAAACGGACGAGGCGAAGGCGCAGAAGCTGTTCGAGAAAATGGACATCAACGGAGACGGCTTCATCGAGATCAGCGAGTGGCTGACCGCGGTGATCAGCGACGAGTTTTTGCTGAAAAAGGAGAAGCTGCGCGACGCGTTCCACAACTTCGACGTGAACTGCTCCAACCAGCTGAGCTGGCGCGAGCTCAGCGAAGTGCTGCACGATCCAGAGCTGATCAAGGCCACTTTCGCGAAGAACGGCAAGTCCGTCGAAGACTCGATCAGCTTCGAGGAGTTTTGCAGCATCGTGATGAACGAAGACGAACAGCTCGCGCTCGCGAAGAAGTTTTCGTCGGTCTCCGACGCGTGAACTACTTGGCCCTGCGTGCCGCGCGGCGCAACTTACAGAATGCTCTTGCCCGAGTTGAACAGGCGCTCGATGTAGTAGATCTGGTACGCGCTCATCAGCAGGATCAAGAACGCCTGCACCGAGCGCCAGCGCAAAACTGCCTTGTGACTTCCTTTCAGGTCGATCGAGTGCTGCAGCTCGCGCGTGTTCGTCACCGCTTGCTGTTGCAGCAGCGTCTTGCTGCGCGCGTCAAACGCCTGGATGCTGTTATGCAGCGCGAGCGTGTGCTGTTGCGTGACGAAGTCCTGCGGCGCGGCGGAGTCCTCTAGGTAGAACGCCACACGAATCTTGTGCGCGAGCGGGTTGCGGAAGCACATCAGGAACTGCGTGTCGTGCACAGAGTCCGCGCTGAGGTTCAGCTCGCGGTAGTGCTGGCTCGGATAGTCTTTGATCTTCTTCGGCTCGCCTACGCGTGTGCCGTGCTCGTCGACCAGCTGGTAGTCCAGCCGCACCTCGACGACGTCTGCCTCCTCGGGCAGCGCTTCGTACAAAAAGGAGAGCGAAGAGCCGCGGCCGGAGGCGTACATGAGGCAGTGCTCCGCGCGCGGCTCGAGCGGCAGAATCAAAGCGGTCAGCCTGTGGACCAGCAGCGCGAGGAACAGTCGCATCGCAGCGGGGCGGCGCGCTAAATTTAATACTTACACAGAAAATAAGTCTTTCTGAAAAAGAATTAGCGACTGAGCTCGCACATGTGAGCTATGCTTCTGAGCGCGCGCGTGTTTTGGCTCGCCGCGGCCGCGCGGCGCGCCG